TCCAAGGCCTCTCCTAAAAATATAGTTACAAAATTTGCTAAGCCCCTTCATTTGCTCTCATAGTAATTCAGGAAACAATTAGTTTGAAAGAGCTACAGTTCCAACTGGACAATTATATGACACTTGAAAGCCATCAGTGCACTGGGTTGATCATGTAAGATCTACAAGGCATCTGCCAGTTTAGGTAAAAATGAAGTTATTTTCATAATTAGACTTGATACCAAATAAGGCATTATTTCAAAGAAAAGAAAACCAGTATTATATTAAGTAAACAACTTTTCACTGTGTCTCAGAGGTAAGTGTAAGTTAGTGTGGGTATATCGAAAAAGCTGCTTGCACCCTCATTTAAACAGAAGATACAAAAAATGAAAAGCAGGTTTATAAGGACAAGGTATGCTGGTGTTGCAAAAAGATTGCAGTTTTATTTGGTACAGTAACAACCTACAAAGCCAGCATGAATATACTGCCTTGTGTTTCCCATAATAAAATTAAAAGCATAAAATACAAAATCCTAAAAACAAAACCACATCTGTCAGCACCACAACTGCACAGTAGAGATAACACATAATACATAGGTTTTCAGAAATAAGATGTAAGAGTAGAGCAGAACTCTAGGAATTTCTAAGGCAGTAGCAAAATTAAGCTAAGACAACCATGAAGGAAGAAGGAAAAAAAAAAAAAAAAAGTATTTCACTCTAAGTATTAAGCAGAAAGGAACTTAAATCCTTTAAAACAAAACTGAAGTCCTGAAGGGTTAAGCCAACAACAGCATCTAAGTTATCATATCAGAGTCACTGAAATAAACATCAGCATCTTTAACATCAGTAAATGAGCATTTGATCTAATTAAGTCAAGAGAAGTCATTCATCTCATTAAAGGTTAATTAAATTTTAGAATTAGATATAAAGACATACAGGGATACAAAACAAGTCACAAGAAAGATCTACAGCAATGAAGGCAGTTTTCCACACATCAGCTGTCCCTAACCAAATAGCATCAGTCAACCAAAAATAAACACAGTGAGATCGAAGTGCTACAACTAAATCATGAAGTCCAAAGAAATAAATGCATCTCTTTCACACTCATTTAACCAGTTCAGTTTCAGCATGAAGGAACTATACTCAATAACAGAAACAAAAATAAGGTAGCAGAAGTCTCCAAAGTTTAACAAAGCTACAAAAAATAAGTAGCGTAAGGCAGAGAATTCCAGTTTCAAACAGATAAAGTTAAAAAAAAAAAAAAAAACAAAAAAAACCAACCAACTGAAAATCCACTTCACAGAAATACTTGCTTATATTTATTTCCAAAGGAAATGGAAAAAAAAAAATCATAAAAACTTCCTGCAATGGTGAAAGATGCAGGGGGTTTTTAGAAGCAAAACAACTTTTTTTTTTTTTTTTTTTTAATAATCCCAGAATCATAGTATAGTTTGGGTTGGAAGGGACCCCTAGAGGTCATCTACTCCAACCCTCCTGCAGTGAGCATTTCAACATTTTCAACTAGATCAGGGCGCTCAGAGCCCCGTCCAACCTGACCTTGAATGTTTCCAGGAATGGGGCATCTACCACCTCTATGGGCAACCCGTGACAGTGTTTCACCACCCTCATTGTAAAAAATTTCTTCCCTATATCTAGTCTGAATCCCCCTCTTTTAGTTTAAAACCATTACCCCTTGTCCTGTCACAACAGGCCCTGTTGAAAAGTCTGTCCCCATCTTTCTTATAAGCCCCCTTTAAGTACTGGAAGGCTGCAATAAGGTCTCCCCACAGCCTTCTCTGCTCCAGGCTGAACCACCCCAACTCTTACAGCCTTCCCTCACAGGATCCCTCACACAGAGGATCCAGCCCTCTGATCACTAATCATAATGATGTCACTTATGCTCTCTGACCTAATACATTTATACTACTTAACTAAAAAACAGATTTTAACATTCAAAAGTCATACAGTACTGACATCAAAAACAGGCCTAGAGCAATGCCAATTCAGACATCATAGTTATATGTGTTTACTTGTGGCCAGCAGAAATTATGTCACTTGTTATGCAACTGATGGCAAACAGAAAGAAAAGACAACTGACTTACCTGTGAGAGGCATGTATCATCTAAACAGGAAAAGGAAGAGGCTCTATCAAACCACTTCAGAGAGCACTTACGATTTCTTACCCCAGAGTTCAAGGGCAAATCATACCTATCATGTACACCAACCTTAGCATATCAAGTCATAAGCTTCTACATGTGCTTATTCCAGAGTGGATCTCTGGAGTCAACATGGATTGCTAGATCATGGAATCTCCTGTTTCTTCTTTACCATCATAGGTACAGCATGTAAAATCCTTCCAAGTGTAACCTCTTAGTGATGGAATCTGCAGACCTCAAGTGGATCTTCATGATTTTACTGATCTGAGACTGGATTATGCCAGTAGGTCTTCTCCCTTAACATCTGAACTATATTCCCCACTCACATGTACTTACTAAACCCACATTTTCCAAGGAAACCATAGGAACTTTCAAGTCTCTTTGCAAGCCTTCTCAATGCAAGCCATAACCAGAACACACAACACATGCCAGCAGTACAAGCCTCAATAGGATACTGTGCATGTCGATTGCATACTAGTATTTGCCCTTTCGCACTGAAGTTTCTAAGTCAGTTAATCAAATTCATCAGTAATGCATCACAAAAAGAATTCTGTATCCTACAAAAAACCGTATCACTTAGAAAGGGACTTGCATTCTGGAACTACCTGTTTGTTGAATGCCAATTCTCTACCAGGTTTCCCAGTCTTGAAGAAAAATGCACTCCAGAGTCCTTCATGTTGCCAATTCCCTGCTAGACTGTGAAGAGCAAGCTGTACCACTCACAACATGGGCTGCTGAATTTGTTTGCGAAGAATCAGAAATGCTCCCTCTCCCAGAAAAAAACCATTCTCTTGTTCCCTAATGTGCTCTGTATTCGAAAGGGCAAGTCATCATCCCCTAAGGACTCAATATGAACGACTGCAAGCAAACAGAAGTTCGAAACAGTCAAGTGACTGCTAATTCAGCAAACAAATTAGAATCATGGCAGTTGCCTGCCCATTCCTATTTTATCGACTCATTATACCAGGTAGTTTTGAAGATATTAGGAAGGCCTTGCACTAACAAAAAATAATAACCTGAAAATGAAGTTCAACAAATGGCAGCAAGCAGCAACAGCTTGGCAGAAAGCCTGGCAAATATTTTCTCAGTGCCACCTAGGCACTTCTGTGTAAATGTTTCTTTAAAAAAAAAAAACAAAACAACAAAAAAAAAAACCTTGCAGCTTGTACATGGAAGCCAGGTATTGAATAAATAATAGCTGCAGGGAGTAAAAAAATCTTCAGTGCTGTCTTGATTGATATTTCTCCTGTCTCCATTTGAAGGTTTTCTTTTACTGTCTTAACTTCTCATGGAATTTGACTCCCACCCTATTTTCAAAGTAAATCACAACTTTCAACAAGACCTAACATAAAAGTTTGTAACACTACTTTTCCTAATTATCAACCCAAATGCTTCCTCCTTTCAAATTATATTGAAAATGTAGATTAGGGTGATTATCCCTGGCTTCTACCCTAGCAAGCTTTCTTGTAAGAGAGAGAGATGATACAGTAGGACACATGTCAGCACGGACACTAAGTAACTTATCTGTTGATGGACTCTGATCTGCTGGTTAGATATTTCTCATGGTTTGTATCACAGTCACGAGGAAAAGCAGCACCTACTCCAGTGGTAATAAATATAATTATTTGGCCTGTTTTCTAGCAATTGTCAGAGGTCTATTCCTTGTAATTATTTCTGTCCAATTCTACTTGCTTATTGCTTCTCCTGTATTTGTTCTGTGTGTAATATCTTTCTCTTGCTGTAATTACCTTTTTTCCTGACTTTTTCTTAATATTTACTCTGGTAACCAAGTTCTAAGGTGGAAGTTCAGTCATGTGAGTGGATCAAAGTAAGTAGTACTTCTCCCTCTACGCATGTAGCCCCGCATAGCAAGTAGCTGTTAAATCTAGCTAGATTAGGTGGTACAACAGAAGCGAGTGGGTTTTTTTTTTAGGAACCATTTGTCACATTAGCCCTAGAATCAGCATTACATCTGTAGGAAACCTATGCCTGAAGGCTGATTCGTGGCTTTCTAAACCCACCTAGTCTATTTTCTCTTCTCTGCATCCCCTGCAGGGAATGTATACCTCCCGCATTGTCAAAAGCTGATGTGGTTGACAGGAAAGCCTATGGGATAGCAAATATAGCTTCCAAGTTTTCTATTAAGAAAGCCTTCAGTTGCTCCCTGCTCATTCTTCTTGAAAGATATCCCCTTAGGCCACTGTAGTTCTATTGCTAAAGATTTAACTGATGATTCCACAAGAGAAATGGAAATTGTATCTGTTATATAATGATATACTGTATGAAAAAAATGATGCTGTAACAGTTAAAACGACATCCCCTACGCAGGCTTTCCTCCAACTTTCTTTTGAGAACACATACAACCGATGCATCAGACTCATCCTCTTTTATCTCCTGTGTTTCGTTCCTTCTTCCACTACATGAATTGCTTTCTCTGAATACACATAATACCAAGGAGAAAGTACCGTTCTGAGTTTTTCTCTGTCTAAAAAGAAGCAGACTAAGGACTACAATGAAGTCATCCACAAACCGTCCTTTGCTTCAGTCCCTAAGAAAGAGGAGACTGGGGCTATCCTGCCTAAGTCGTTCATGGGGCAGCCCCATACTTTCAGGTGTGCTCTCTTTCAAGTAACAGGCAGGTATTTTGCCAGGCAGAAAGTTTGATACTTCTTTATTCCACACCTGCCTATGTACCTCATGCATTAATGGGTCCAGTCACACCACAGAGTCTCTGGCATACAGCTTTTCCATCCACTACATACAACAACCCAGCAAAGAGGTTGCACACCAATTACTTTGATTTTGTTGAAAAACACATACCCCATCTTATACAAAAGTGTAACCCAGTCTACTTGAAAATGCTTACTTTCGTTTTCTCTTGCTCAGAAGCCTCCAGGTTTAGTAAGTCATTTCAGCTGTAGAAAATATAGAGACGCCCGCTTCAGTGTGAGATGAGAGGACAACAGCGCGTTCATCCCTTCAACTTTCAATCAACATTTGACTTCCGTGCTGTAGCTGGCCCCTGACAGGAACGGAACAGGTAGGAAGACATTGTTAGCACTGCCAGAATATTTCAATTGACATTATTTTTGAAAAAACTTCAGAAAGGAAGCAAAACCCCAGAATAGTTACTACCAAAAACATTCTGGAGAAAGGAAACAAGCAGCACTAGTTCTTTTTATGTTTTATTGTGTGTCAGGAGGCTTGGCATCAAGTAGTTGGAATTGAGAAGAGCTTTCTCTTCTAAAACTTTAAGATACACATGAGAAACATTTCAAAACTGTAAGTCTTACACAGACTTTTAAAGGTGCTTATGTCCCCCATACATATTTGGGCATCTTTCTGCATCAGTTAAGCATTTCCTCTATCATTCCTTCCCAAAGAATACTGCCATTTGTTTGTTTCTTTTCCCAAATACATTCAAGAATGACTTTTGTAAGAAAGCTGCTATGTAACTTGGCGAAGTCATGAAACAAAACTTATTTTTACCCGATTCAAATTCTTAGAAAAATTAGTATGTTGTCTCCTTTAAAAGAACACACACAATATTAAAGGTTTACAGTTATTTCTCATTAGTCTTGCATTCTAAATTAACTATTGTTGGTTAACACTGTAACTCTGTGTATCAGGAATACATTAACACTAGAGTTTGCTCAACCTCAGTGATGCCAGAAGCCCATCTCTTCTGCAAGTGCATCTTTTGGCAGTTTCCTTCTGACTGAGTATAGAATGATCAACAGTGCAAAGGGAAAATTCTGCATTTTACTGAAAACTCCTCTGTATCTCATCTCTTGTGATGTTTGCCATGCAATGAAGCTACATACAGCCCCAAAAGTTGTGTGTGTTAAGCCTCAATGTGCTTACCAGCTTCATTAATAACTGTACAGCCTAACTTTTTTTAACCATCTAAATGACAAATTAACATTAAAAAGAAAACTATAGCAGGAAAGAGGTTCTGGTTTTGCAGGGTGCTAACCCTGTACCATGAGATATCTGCCCTTCAAATCTGGCTAATGATAAACAAGTATATGACTTCTAGCAAGCAATGAGTACAATGCTGCCCCAAAACAGGTATAATGCAGTAGAGCCAAGGTACTTTTTAAACGTATGGTTTTGATTAGTACCTATGGTGACAAATCAATCTGCAGGCCAACTGCAAAACACTTAACATCCTCACCATTTTAAAACCGAATTTGCCAACATTGCTTTCTCTAGTACCAAGAAGAATGGGGCTTTCTGTGAAAAGAAAAAAGTTAATATCCTTCTCATGCTCTTAATCACATGTGCATCTGGAAAAAACCCGACAAAATCAACCAAACAAACCAAAAAACACCTATCACACAAAGTAGGAATTATGCTTTTTGACTGCCATGGCCCAGCAAGCAGAAACAGTCCATCATCTTCAGGAGTCATTTCTTGTTTTAACTCAACTAAAAACATTTGCCCCGAAATGGTAGGTTTCAGCTTCTCAGCCGTGAGCACTGAAAGAAGTCACATGCTTCAGAATATAATTTAAGCCAGTCAGAAATGAACACTAGAGTGGCTTAAAAGTCTGAAAGGGAGTCAAGAGCGCCCGGAGTATTTTCATATCACAGGAGAGAATGTCTTTTTACAGGAAAGGGGAAAACTGCCGTTCGGAGGG